AATCTCCGTATGTGGCTTCTTTCTTTCCTCCTTGGAAAATGGTTGGATCTTCTTTTTATCTGTGGCATTTTGAAATTTCATGTTGCTGTGCCCTAGAGCTAGGTCTTTTTACTTTTACCCCTTCACTGGGTTCTTTCGTTCTGAAAATTTCTAGAGTAATTTTGTTGATATTTTCTTCCCCATGGCCTTCTCTCGTCTCTGTTGCTGGAACTTCCATTGATCAGAGGTGGGACCTGTTGGACCAATCCTCAATTTTTCTAATCTTTCCTTATAGTTTCTGTATTACTTTCCTGTGGCTGCTGTAACAAATTACCACAAACTCGGTGACTTAAAACAACAGAAGTTTATCCTCTCACTGTCCTAGGACAGAAGTTGGAAATCAAGGTGTCAGCAGGGCCGCCCTCCCTCCCGAGGCTCTGGGGCAGAGCCTGTTTCTCATTCTTCCAGCCTCTGGTGGCTGCATCACTCTAGTCTCTGCCTCCGTGGTCACATTGCCTTCTCTTCCATCCGTGTCAAATCTCCCTCTGCTTCTCTCTTCTAAGGACACTGGTGTTTGCATCTAGGGCCCATCCAGTTAACCCCAGATAACCTCCTCATCTCAAAGTCCTTAACTGAATCACATCTGTTACCATGTAAGGTAACGTTCACAGGTTCTCAGCATTAGGATGTCGACATATCTTTTGGGGGCTGCTGTTCAACCCACTACAGAGCCCAAATCTTTGACCTTTTGTTCCACCTTCTGGGAGATTTCCACAAACTTCCTCTTTCCATCCTTGTATTGAGTTTTCCATCTGTGCTATTACGTCTCTAATTTCCAAGAGCTCTTTTACTGTTTGGAAAGCTCCTTTGTAAAGCACTCTTTCTTGTGACATGCATGCGATCTCTTAATTTCCTGAGAATGATAGTTATTTGAAAGTTTTACTCTCCCTCCATTGTTTTGTTTTTTTCCAGCTCCCCCCACCCCCATTTCTTTTGCTCTCTGCCTTTCATGGGAGAAGTTTTCCTTAAATGTTTAGTTTAAGTATATTTGAAAATGGCGTCTCTAACCTGAGCATCCAGGCACAGCTGAGATGAGGGTGCATCCTCAGTGCTGGGGGATTTGTTGGGAGGCCGAGACCCCACTCCCCTGCACCCTTGGCTCCCAGCATGCAGAGCGCCGGCAGATTAGAAGCTGTGTGAGTGGTATGGTAGAAAGTGCTTGTCAGTTAGTGGGCTGTAGGGTGATCTGTTAGATTTCTAGATCTTTTTTGGGCCCATCAGATAGATTTCCCAGAGAAGAATCCCCTGGTGTTCTGCCCACGGTGGGGGATACCAGCCTGGCTGCCTGAGTCCTGGGAGACATCTGAGGGGTCGAGGTGTTTAGGGTTTGTCAATTCACCAAGTCTCCAGTTTGAAGAACTGAACCATTACCCCCAGTATGCCCAGGGTACTCCCCACTGTGTCCCTCTGGTTCATCCTTTCTGGAAAGCAAATCTCCAGTCTTCTGCCGGGTGGGAGGTGAGGGGATGGAGGTTTCCTGCTTCTTAAATCGATTTTCAACTGGTCCTCCAGTTCTCAGACCCTTTCACTCCCGCATCCAGGGGTCCTTGGGGCCGCCATTCCTGCCTCCCTGCGGGTGGTTTTGTGGTATAAATCGCCTTTCTTCTGGGTTTCCCCACTGCTGGCTTAGGGTTCAGTTCCTCTGGTCTCCTAAGCCAGTTACATTAGTCTATCTGTGTCTGTGTCCAGCTCCCCAAATCTTGTTCTTTTCAGTCTAGCTCACATATTTTTTGTCCTTGTGGATTTTTGTTTTAAAAAATTCCCTTTGCTGTCATTTTAGTAGATTTTGGAAGGCATGGAGGTAAACATGTGCAAGTAACCCACCAGCTTGGACAGAATTTATGCATTACTTTTACAATGAAAATTATAAAAAATAAACATTCAAAAATAATGTTGCACATTAATAATAAAAATACAGACTATATAGGAAAAAGTCTTGTGAGACATTTACATAATCTTTAGAAGAACACTTCCAAGGTTTCCTGAGCGACATAAAATAGGACCCATTCCTGGGTGGGAAGATTGTATATTACACTGATTTCCATTTTTTGTCAATTGCTTCATAGGTTTAACGCAATTCTGGTGTAAGAAATCTGCATGAGTGTTTTTCTGAGAACTTGGCAAACCTATTCTAACATTTATGTAAAAGAATAGGCAGGCAACAATAACAAAGTTTTTGCGAAAGAAGTAACATGGTTGAGATGGAAATAGTCTTATCAGCCACTGAAACGTGATAAGGTTACAATAACTAAAACAGTGAGGGAGTGATATAAGAGAAGACAGACCAGTGAAACAGAAGAGACAGACCAGAAATGGTGCTATTCTACAAAAGAACTTAAAAGCCAGGCCTATGAATCAATGGAGAAGAGAAAAAATATTCAATAAATGGGGTGGGGACAACTGATTTGTTTCTTGATATAAAGATCAATTTAATTCTTTACCTCACACCATATGCCAATGTAACCACGGGCCCTCCAGGACCAGTTCAACTGACCCCGTCTCTTATCAACAGAGTAGTTAAGATTCAGAAAACCTGCCAAGTCACATAGCCAGGGCATGTGCAATAGAAGAAATCCTGACCTGAAACGACCTTGGAACCAAAGATCCTCCTTCTCATGGAACCCAAGGAAGGGGACACGACCAGAACTTGAAAGTCAGATTCTTATCAGAGTGAGAGGTCCCTCATTCAGGAAGATCCAGTGTTAAAATTCCTTCCCCACCTCATCAAAAATGTTTAGAACCCCATCATAATTGTTTAGAACCCTATCATAAATGTTTAAAACCTTACCATAAATGCTTGAAGCTCACCAATCAAAACCTGTCCCACCATCATTTCTGCGTGCCAGCCTGTTCTCTCTAACCTCTTAAATTTTTCCCCAATTCTTGAATCAGGGAGACAGATCTGAGGACACACACCCCTCTCTCCCTGCAGATTGACTTTAGAATAAAGCTGATCTCTTTTCCCAAAGGCTGATGCTGTAATTAATTGGCTTGGTTATATGCATCAGGCAGAGAACCCTAATTTTGTGTGGTAACACCAATAGAAATTCTCACTATATTAAAGAATTTTATTGTGAAAAGTAATTAAATTATATAAAAATTAGAAGAAATTAAGATATTTTCAATCCCTAGTGGGATATGGGATTTTGGGCTTAGAAATAAAAGAGAACAATTACAAAGGAGAACAATTACATTTCGCTAAAAAAATAAAACATCTGTATGTAAAAAAAGTCAACAAGCCAACCACAAACTTATCAGTTGTATTTGCTACAAATCTTCCTTTAGTGTGATGTTCTTGCACGGTGGTGCTTCACTTGGATTAAAAATGTTTCTTTTTATTACTTTCCCGTATTTTTGTAAAAATAATGAGCATGAATATCCAATTAATTGCATTAACTGTAAAAATTAATTTATTGATGGAAAAACTAGTAGTGAATGTGACTGAAAGGAGAAATGAGAAAAGTGAGGAAGAATCAGGAAGGAAGCAGAGGGATCTAAGGAGAGGGAACATCTCTCAGAGGCCACTTAAGGGAACAGGGGGAGGCGCGGACAGTGTAAATCCAAGGCTGTCTTCAGGGTGAGCCACTTTCTATTTGCCCTTAAACCAGCCGGGTGGTCCAGACAGGGCAGGGGTTTACCAAGGGGGAGGCACAGAGAGTGTCCTTCCCACGGGAGCAGAAATGCAGCCCTGACATCCTTTAGAATTGGCAGCACAAGTGATTATAAAAAGCAAACGGACTTAGTGGATCTTTATTTTCTAAAAGATTTTCTACAGACAATGCACTCCTATTTCCTCCCCCCTCTGCTCTGGAGACAGATAAACCCAGGTTCAAGTTCCCATGCCCCACTGAGAAATAGAGGAAGATCTGTTATGCAACACATGGATTATTAGGTTATTATTATTAGGTTATTAGGATTATTAGGTTAAAAACAGGTCAGGACGACAAGATAATGCAGTCAGTACATGAGGCCGAGGGGCTAATGGTTAAGAGGGGAGGCTCCGGGGTTAAACTGGGTTCAGATCCCTCCTGCACCCTGAGGGCGACTTTGGGCAGGTGTTAGGTCTGGGAGCCTCGGTTTCCCTATCTGTAAAGGGAAGATGAGAGCAGCACCTACTGTTACTGTGGGGTCGCGGTGCAGGCTAACTGGGGTGATGCACACCCGGATGTTCAGAGGGACACAGTGCGCAGTAGGCGGGAGCTGCCGTGATTGCTGCCGCAGACGTGCCTCTTAATGATGGGGACAGAGGAGCAGGATCACCGTGGACGATGGGGACAGTGTGACTGAGCAACACAGGGAGAGGTGGGGCTGGGGGTGGTGAGACACAAGGAGGGTAAAGAGGATGGAGATGGGGGAAGAAGGAGATGGGAGAGGAGAGGAAAGAGGAGGGAGGAGGTGGGAGTGTTGAGGGCCATGTTCTGGGGGGCGGGGGGGAGGAGGAAGCGAGAAGGTTGGGTAACAGGTGATGGGCGTTGCCAGGGTATGGGGGCTCCTCAGGCCTACCGTGTGTGTCTGGCTGAGCTCCTGGCTGTAGAGAGATATAGATATGGGGTGAGCTGGGACTCCGCACATGGACTCACGGCAAGGGGAGGCAGGCCACATCTGGAGAAATCAAGTCCCCCAATGTGGGGCAAGGGCAGGGGGCAGGGCTGGAGTCCCAGCTTGGAGTAAGAAGGGAAGATAACTGGGGACCCCAGAAGATGCTGAGGCCTGGGGAGGGGGGGTGGGGGCTGGATGTGGAGGGAGCAGTGAGCGGGAGGGGCAAGGAAGGCAGGTTTGGGGAAGATTAAGGTGAAAAGGGGAAAGTTGTCAGAGGCCTGCAGAGGAGTGGAGGGAAGGAAGAAGAGTTTGAGAGAAGGGTCAGGAAGAGGGGAGCCTGGGCCAGGCCTGGGGGACAAGGGCGCCAGTGGACTTCAAGAGCCTCTGGTGGGTGCGGCAGCGGCCAGGGCACCAGGACTCACCGTGGGTGATGATGAGTGTGGTCCCTGGGATGGACTGCCATTGCTGCTCGCCGTTCATCAGTGTGTTCAACCGGACCCGGCAGAAGTACGTAGTCTGGTCCTCTCTCCGCAGGTTGGAGATCAGGAGGGAGCCGGTCTTCCAACCCTCTGTCCAGTTCAGGAAGAGCCGGTTCTTGTAATCCTCACGGATGAAAGGCGGGGTGGTGTTGTAGATGTACTCCCCATGGAAGTGCCTCCGTCTCCAGGCTATACTCACCCTGGGAACCTTGGCTAACTCCCAGGGGTAATAGAAGGAGAAGGGGATGTGGATGGAGCCACCCTCGGGGGCTGAGAGGTGCTCTGGTTGGTTGACCCCAGAGCCAACCTTTGGACTGGATTCTGCCCAGTAACCTAGAGGAGGGAGGGAGAGGGAGAGACTTTGAAGCCACCGGGAGAGACAAAGAAGATAATCCCAGATCATCTGGCAGCCTCACGCATGGGCAGTAGTGTGACAGGTGGTAGGACTGTCCCTCTGGCCTGGGTGTCCCCCTCTCCAGGCTTGGGGTAGGGAACAGGTGAGGGGTTGGGGGGACCCAGCACTATGGGAACAGCCCTTGGTTAGGCGTGGGAGGCCTGGCCAGTTACCCCAGCAGACCCCTTCTCCAGACACCCGGCCACAGCCCCTCCTGGGAGCTCCTCCCGTGGCCCTGGGCAGAGCCAGCGTGGTCCTGGCCACTCACCAGCCTGCAGAGATGCCGGCAGCAGGGGCAGCAGCGGCAGCAGCACCGGCAGCAGCAGGGGCAGCCCCATCGCCCTGCTCTCCTCCAGGGGCTTGAGCAGACAAGCAGCACCGTCAAGGACAGAGAGGAGGCCCTATGGAAGGGCCACCTCGGGGAACTCTTGGGCACCTAGAGAGTGACGATCAGGCTCCTTCAGAGGACAGAGGGAGGATGAGAGTCTTCCCTAAACCCACCCAACCCCAAGTGACCCAGCACTTCCTTCATCAATCTGGCTTCTTCTTTTCCTATGTTGCAAAAGTGCTTCGCATGTGGTCAGTGCAAAGAGAGCCGTGATACAGGTCCCCAGCCCCCATCTTCGTACTGAGGGGCGTGGTCCTGATCTTGGCTGGCTGAGGCCTCTGCTCTCCCACCTCAGCTCCCTGCCTCTGTCAGCGCCCCCCGGCATCTCCTTAGGAGTCAGTCTCTGTCTCTCACTCTCTCTTCCTTTTCTCTGGTTCTCTGAGTGTCTCCCAGGCCCTGTCTCTCTCTCATCCCAGGGGAAGGGGCAGCAGCAGGACAGCTCAGGCTCTTCAGGGAGAGGAAAGCAGCCACGAGCCTCTGCCCAGCTACAGCCCCTTAGAGAGAAGGAGGAGGATGCTGTGGTCAGACGCCCTCAGCCCCCAGCCCCAGCACCAGTGCCAGCAGGGTATCCCCTACAGTCCCTAGGCAGAGCCAAGGCCCACCAGGCCCCTTCCTGCCCCTGGTCTGCTCCCTTTGTGCAATCTCACACCCTCCCTGAGGTTAAGAGGTGAGGGTAGGCCGACATTCCCACCTCCCCAGAGAGTGGACCTTCTGGAGGCCACACCTCGACCCACAGAATGAGAGACTGGATCTGCGGGTCCCTCTGTCCTCACCTCTCTGCAGATGAGAAGACCAAGGCCCACAGAAGCCTTGCTTCTGGTCCATGACTCCCAAGTGGCCAGTCTAGGACTCGAACTCCAGTCTTGCTGAGTCCACAGAGCCTCCTGCTCCCTCTGGATGCTTCTGCCTGGTTGCACCACAGAATCTCTGGGCTTCAGCTCC